CACACACACACACACACACACACACACTCACACAAACACACACATACAATACAGACAGACAGACAGACATTAATTTATTATAGTTGAAGATTGTCAACTAACCAAAAAGCAACTCGTAGAGAGGTTAATGCAATTTCATTGTATAGACCTGTGTTAGTGAAACATTTCAGCAACAAAAACTAAAGTTATCGCAAAGTGTCAATTGGCAACGGAAGGTATTTTTTATTAGCGCTTTTGGGGTAGATTATGATTTCAGCTAATTTACGAATGTTGATTAATATAATTTGATTGATTTTAACTTATTTTGCTTTTCCCTTTTCTTTCGCGAAAGGGTGCATTTCTATAATTTGGTAGCTATCTACTCCTTACCTCCTTCCAGATACTCAAACCTCAGTTGTCATGGACTATTAAAAAAGCATCATTTTATATTCAATGTTTGAGTCTTGAGGCCTTACAGCTGTTTTCTTTTTTGAAGATGGCGTTTTACGCACCCATCAACACAGTCTAAATTATTCAGAAGGCGGGCTTTCACCCTGCCCGCCCGGGGGAACACAGTGTCGCTAAGAGGGACCAGCGTTCCAGTAGAAAGATCGAGAAGCTAAAAAAAGTTATTCTACAAATAGGAATCGAACTCAAGTCTTTTGCAGGTGACGGCGTAGTGCCTAACCGCTGGAAATGATGATATGAAGCGGATAGATGAATAATTTGTTCCTGTATTTGTTGCTTGTAACCTGCAGTCGCCAAGTTTTATCACAGACCTGGATAACCGGTAATTGATTTAGCTTCCACGTTTCTCATTAGAGATACGCTGTCCGATATGGCGTCCGATCGACTGGCGGGCAAATGCACGCCGCCTACATAAAACATCCGGTTCCATCTGGAAATTACCTCCTGGGTAAGCTCTTATTGAATTTTTACTCCCAAATCACCCCACAGTTTGGGAGAAAGTCATCAGTACCATGAAACCATTCATGCTCGAAGTAAATACAAAGGACAATGCGCTCTTAGGGGGCAGGAGTGTGTTCATTATGGCTTATTAGGGCGGAGACATTTACATGGGAGACCTTTTAGATAATCAGGATCGGTGGTGAGTCGAGAAATGTCGTCAGATAATATGGTACTCTGGGACCACAATC